TGGAAAGCCGGTCTCCACACCCAGGGTGGAGATGGAGTGGACTGCATTTTATTCCTAAATGGGTTATGGTTGCTAGAGTTTGCGGCATAAATTGTATGGCTGTCTGATGAGCTAAAACATTTACAACTTTCAGATGCTTTGACAGAGTCCACTACTGCCACAATGAGTGGCCGCAATCACACCAGCCAGGTAAGTAAATCACAGCTGAAACCAAACTACTTATAAATGGCTCAGAAGATACCCACGACATTCAGATTTAACTATATAAAGTCACTTCCATGTAATTGCTAGTAGACAGATGTGTCTCAGCTTGTAACAGTCTGAAACGTGATTGTTTGGGTATATGGAGATATAAGAACTAAATGATTTGCTCACAGTTACAATACAATTCCCTGACAGTCAGGAATAGCAGTATCCAAAAATAACTGAACTCTACTCCCCACTGTGCAAATCACAGGCGAGGCTTTCCAGATTTCCTACAGAAATGCCACAAAAGAGCACAGACTCACGCCTTCTAATCCACTGAATTACACAGCATATTTTTATTTGCATAAGAAATAAACCAGTCTTCTGCCAAATAATTTCTGTGCCTCAGCATTAGAGGCTCACATGCACAGTCCAGTTCTACTCGGATCAGGAACTGAAATGTATTAACAAAGCAACACCATCGCTACAGCATTTCTAGGCTGCAGCAGCAATCTCTTGACATTCGAACCTTTAAAGGAAGGAAAGAAGACATTGAAGAAAAAAATATTCCTACTTTCAATCTGTTTTCAACATGGCCAACACTGCTCTCTGGACAGCTTTCACTCCTACTCCACACATACCCATAGTAACACCAACAACTCTCCAGATTACAAATAACATTTTATTGTCAACTGTTACACTGACTGTGCAGCAAACACATCTAAACCTCGCACATCCCAGGCGCTTGGGAAGCTAGCTTGCCTTAACGCTGCGGTGTGACTATAGTTTATGGGCTCGATCCAAAATTCACTCAAAATCGCTCAAAAAAACAACACAAGCAATGCTCGGACTATGCTCTGCGAGCAAGGAGCTGCTTCCACTTGGAAAGCTGACATTAGCAACATGCATTAAATTCAGTTATATTAGTACAACATTTAGCCACCTCCACTGTCTTTGCAGCATAACAGGTCCCATACAACACAGAAGAGAATAAAGATCCTTGCCCCAGAGCTTGTGAGATATACGGACTGAGAGGGAAACATAAGCAGCCCAGAGGTTCTGTTTGCTATAAACATGCTCATAATTAAACCTCTGGCTTTTGCAGGTACTGCAGAAATCTTGTCCAAGGTATAAAAAGACAATTCACATAGCTGACAAGGGACAGGGACGTGGTCAGTCTGAATTTAGTCGAGCCAGGTGACAAATGAAGAAGCTGAATTCTTCTTAATTTGCTTGGGAAATTCTGCTCCAAAGCGAGGCAGGAATTTACACATAGGCTTCAGAAAGCTATTTCACGTTTTGAATTGTCTAAACCTTCTGGATGTACAAATCTGAAAGGGAGACTCCTCTGAGACTCAAGTATCAGCATGCAGGGGTGCCTGAGAGTAAACAGACTGGAACAAGGCAACTGCAGCCAAACCTACGGCACACGGCGTCACTGAAGCAGGGCTTTCGAGCACTTACCAGGCTACTGTCATTCACATTTGAAGCATACAGCTTCTATAACATTATTTTCTCAGACCTTCTCTTGTCAGCATTTTGAAGGCAGCTACATTTTACTTTCAAATTCTATACTCTTTCTATGACACAACATTCAGGCATCCCCCTTCTAAACCAGATTGGTCATGGCATTGTACGTACTGATTACATCAAGCTGAAGCTGTCGTGGTGAAAACAACATATAAATGAAAAGCCACAGCTGCCAGGCACTGTTCAGGAGGGGAGACAATGACCCCTGGAGACTGAAGTCCCTCTGAATTCCAGAACAACCTTTCTCTAGTCCAACCACAAAGGACATTTGTGCTGCTTGGTTCATTTTGTATGTTTCCCCCACGCCTTGGGTTCTCATCTTACATATGGAGAATGAGTTCCTGAAAGACATCTTCAGCTGAAGGAGTCCAGTGGATGAAAATGCAGAAAGGAAAACTCATGTTAGCGCTTTGCTGAGCAAATCTCTCATGTTTTTGTAAGTCTGTTTCGATTTACTCTTACTGTGTGACTGAGAACTGGATAAAAATGGTCATGATTAAGTGTGGCCTGGAAACGAGAAAAAGGTTTCTAGCCATCAGAAAGGTACTAGAACCATCTGCCCGTTGGAGTAACGGAGCAAGTGAACCAACTGCAAGCTGGAAATAGCTCGGTTTACGAAACGATCATACAATGTGCTGTCTGGGGACTGGTCTGGCATGACTTAGAAGATATCTTTTTCTAGCTTTCTAAAAATCCAGGCATATCTGGTAACCATTGACTTCTGCTGAAGTGCCCTACGTAGCAACATCTCATCACTCTCAAATCACATTGCATAAGAAGAAACACCAAGACGCAACTCACTTGCTGCAGTTGTGCAGGTTTGTTTTGACAATATCATAGTCTGTGTTGTAGAGTGGCCCGCTGTCCTTGAGCAAGGCTTTCTGAATGCTGTAGACATGCACGCTCGCAATCGTGGCTAGTTTAGACTTCATTGCTGGAGGGGAAAAGAAAAAAAAAAAAAAAAGTCCTCTGTCAGCACAGCCTTTACAGAATCAGGTGGCAACTTTAAGCATCAGGCTCTACCAAAGACGGAGAAAGACTAACAGACTGCTTGACAGCAAGGACCTAAATATAAAAATGTGTAATTGTACCTTCTTCCAACGCTCACTAACTGAGAATTCAGGGTAACAGACTCCACAAGCCCATCTTACACAACTGAATTAACTGAATAATCTCTGTGTTTACCTTCAAAAATCTCCAGAATATCTACATGACTACCTGAAGCTAAGGAAGAAAATAGATGGTCATAACTCTACCCCACTGGAACTGCTCTCTGCCATTAAGGTAGCGTCTACTATATCAACTAGTGTCACAGCGTTGTCTCTAGTAGTCTGCTGGAACCAATGTTTTGTCTCTTCTATGCTATTTAGACTGTAACACCCTTGAGACAAGGGCTGGTTTTTAGGAATTCTTTGTTCATTGCTTATATTGTTCTTTCCACACAGTCCTGGTCCGAGACAGAGCTTCTAGGCACTGTAAAAATACACACAGTAATCATTTCTTGGGGCCAGTCCTAGACTATGCAGCCCTACTCCCATCACAAATCTCAGCCTCTTCCAAATGTAAGTCATACCTTTGGCCTGTCTTCTAATACAAAAAACATGAGCAACCCTTTCCTCCACGGCAAAACAGAACACTACGCAGCACACATAATTCAACGAACATGACAGATAGTAGTTGTACTGCTTCATAATCCACTACCCTGATGAAGACAACTTTAGCTAGAAATCCACTTCAGATTTCAAAAAGGAAAATAAGACAAGTCTTTCAAGCAAAGTTAGATCATTGGTATGGATATTTAAGGTCACAAATGCCACAGTACATTCTCAAATGCCAAAGATGTTATTTGAAAGGGATGAAGAGCCTGCAGTTGTGTTTCAATTGCTACGCATCAGATCTCATCAGCAGGAGGAGACCTGGAAAGATAAGACAACTGGCAGTGCACAGAGAGCAGCTTCAGGAAGCAGTGGTGGGTTTTTTCACCTTTTACTGTGAAAGTAAATACCCCAGACAAAAATGAGAATGTTCTTGTGGGACATTTAACTAATACCCACATCATTCAGAGCAAAGAAAGACTGTAATTGCATTTAACCAATAGCTAGAATTATCTGCTTCAGCATCCTTGGGAACCTGAAGGCTCATAACTGTTCTAAAACACTGTGAGACACTGCTGTGCACTGCTCTGATAGTGGTGTCTTTAAGGAGGAGCTGTCTGTCAGTGGCAAGGAGGCGGATAAGAACCACTGACTAAAATGTTCAATATGAAAAAAAAAAAAAAAATTCAGACCCAAATCACAAGTCTGTGAAGTTACACAGCTGTTGGCTCCGATATTCAAAATTCTGAGAAAAAGCTAGTACAAGAAGTACACACCTGAACCCAACAGCCTGACTAGGCATTTACGTGCAGATGGCAAGTTCTGAGCTTTACTCACTTTGCTGTTCTTTCAAAGAAAAAAAAAAAGTTAAAACCACGTAATTTTCACGATCTGCTTACCTTCGAGTTTATCCTCTCTCACTACTGCAACCTTGTGGCACTGTGAAAAATAAATAAATTGCAATCTTAAACTTGAAAAGATCTGCTGTACGTAAGACTGATATTTTCAGTTATCTATTGAATAAGAAAGTCTGCCAATTACAGGTGCAGCTTTATAGATGCAAAGAACTCTGCCAATGCTTTTCAACAGTCACCAGCCACTAGTTTTCAAAGCTGTCTTCCTACTTTTCTAATCGACCATTTCGCAGGTCACTACAACCCTAAAGAAATCCTCTGTCCTCCATTCCTGACACTGGGAGATGAGACACAGATGAAACGAGAACTAAACCACTGCGCAGCACAGCGGAGAAAAGCAAACTAATGCGGCTGATAACCCAGCTGCTAGAAATCTGCCGCACTAACCTACCTCACCCGTGTATATTTAGATTGCCAGTAAACTAACACAGGAAACTGTAGCACAGACACGCCACCAGAGAAGCAAAACACCACGAGAAATTAAGCATTAATCTAAAACCCAGAAATGAATGTTTCTGGAGGTGTGCTCTACAGCCAATCTTTGAGGACTGTATCTGCTCTATGACATTTAACAGGCTGCAGTTAATGTACAGAGTACCCAAATAGACAAACTGGACAAAATCCAATTATTTTGTGTTTAACTGATACCACCAACTAGCCAGCAAAAGAGTAAGAGGCAAGAAAATGCAGGCAACCTGAAACGGCAAAGAAAGATTGAGTATCTCGGTCCCTCACTGAGGTGGATAAAAAGTTGCAAGTGAAGAGCGTGCAGTGCTTAAGACATGATGAGAATTATTTGTGACTAATTTCTATCCATATCTCCCTTCAGATGGGTCTTGCAGTTGAATCCCCAGCCTTGTGGCTACACCTACTGACAGCAGACAGTACTGCAGCGTTACACCTGAAGCACTCACGTCCCTTTCCTACCCAAAATTGACTTGTGCCAGGTAATACCCACCAGCTACGCATCTTCTGGAAGTACCTTTGAGATCTGATTGCTTCTCCTACCTGCTCCAGCTAGCCCTCAGACATCCAGTCTGGGGAGCTTTAACCTCCTCCTGCATGGCATTCGCTAACCCTGGCATTGCTTTGTCTCTGCCCCCAACAACCTACTGCACCTGCAGGTCACCTTTCTTAGCAGCCACTGGGATTGCAGTACTCAAAAATAAAATACTTAAAACCAAAACACAAAAAAAGTGCACTTCATATGGTTACGTTAGGAGATCTTTCTTGTTTTACAAATATATAAACTGCTAAGACAGAGTTTAAAAAAAAAATAAAAATCTATACCCTATGTCAGAATTTACTTGTTTTATTCACTTGTTTGTTTTAAATACATTATGGCAAATTTAAAAATAATAGAATGTGGTGACAAACCTCTAGCCAGTTCTAGTGAGCCAAGAGATGCTACCTTGTTATTACCAAAATCAATCAGGGGAAAAAACCTGTTAAACTTGGGCTATAAATGCGATGCCACCTGTACAGCTTTAAATAAATATATTCCATTATACAGAACTAAACGCAATAAATAATTACCTTCAATTTCAGACAAATTTGGAGATCTAAGGAGAATATTCTATGCACTTGAACCAATTTATTATTTAGGAAAGCCAAAAAGGTTTGTTGGGTTTTTACCCCCAATCTACATATAAATGCCAGGATACCCCGAGATGTACTAATTCTAAATGAAGACTATGGATTGTAAGAGATATTAGGGCATTTAAATATATGAATAGCTAAATTCATATCTAAATATACGAAGAGACACCTAGTGTAACATCAAAAGCATTTAGTGTTTGGCTACTGAATTCTTCTGTGAGCAAACGGAAATAGGCACTCAATTTGCTCAAGTTCTTTCAAAAACCTCTGGGGTACTTGTCTGAAATTTTACATGACATTCTTGAAAATATGACAAGCAGCAACAAGAAAAAACAAATTATTAAGTAGCGATTCTTTTGCTTTGTAAGTCAAAGCATTTTAAATACAAAATACCGTTAATAAGTTTATGTTTTTCTTGTATACCAGGATAAAAAAGTTGTCTTGTTAATTAAAGCAACTTCAACTATTTATTTATTATTCTATTTACGATTATTCCATTCTAACCGAGTTCTAAGCTCTCTCCACACAATACTTCGCACACTTCCACTCCACAGCAGATCCTGGGAAATGGATTAGTTGATCTCACAAGGGCCCCTCCAGGCTGTTTTATAATCTTTGCTGTCCAATAATAGCAGTAAGATTGAGAGATGACTGGTAACAGGATTTAAGTTAATTAAATAAAACCCCTGGTGCATTATTCAGCACTGTATTAACAAATCACAAACCAACTGATCTTTCCTCCCCATCATTCATATGCTGGGACAGAGACAGTGCCTTACTGTGTATGTGTACAGAAGACCTAGCACACTGTGCCTGTGACTGGAAAAAGAGAGCAAGTTCAGCTTTTGACCCAAAGATTATAAAACAAGATGGAAGACACAAAAAGAAAGAGCTCACAGACACCTTTGAGAAATAAAACACTCACAACGTGTCCATTCTGGATGAGGTTTCCTGCTACTAAGTAGGTGACATGAAGCTGAGCTCCCGAATTCTCCTTTCGTTTCCTCTCTACATAATCATACAGCATCCTGCACAAAAGAAACCAGTGTTAATCACCTAGAAAGGAAAGAGCCCGTCACCACCCCTTCCGTGAAGCTTACATTAAAAAAAAAAAAAAAAAAAAAGAGTAAAGCCAGCCCAACGTGGAAACATTTCACATAAGCACAGTTATTTTAACCAGCATTAAATTAATCTCACTGAGACACCTTCCTCCTCTGGCAGTTTGGAGGATCTCAGTCCAACAACCATATAAACCAAAGGCGAAATGAATAGAAGCTCTCAAAGCTTTAACAGTTGGTTGCAAATGGTCTCTCATCCTCTGAGCAGCTTGTTCCAAAATCTCCCCTGGAGCAAGGCTGTTTCCCTCATTACAACCCAGCATTCTGAAACACCTGACAGAGGAGCTGGTGATTTTTGGTATGTAGTCCCATTGCCAGGTGAATATGTACAATCCCAGTTACATCCACTGACACTGTGATCAGAAACAGGAGGAAAGACCGTGACTAGTGATGACAAGATTGAGACTCAAGTTTATACCGCTGATTTATGATGAGTGTCCCACGTAACTGGGCAGAGACATACTGCACGCTCCCTGATAAAGATACTTGAAGATCATTACTGCTACAGAGACAGTCTGCAATTACCAGGCTGTCACAACCTGCACAATCACTAAAAATAATTAACTTGTGTTATCAGGCACTTTCCAGCTTCTAGGAGAGAGTTTTAAGCACAAAGGTGCCACAGGAGTTTTCCATCTCCAGGTTGCTTTCAAGGGTATGAGAAGGTGCCTCTGCTTCACCTGGGCCATCTTCTTCACAGCAAAAAGTTCTCTGGCTCCTTCTAGTTTACTGTATGACCAGAATTGTTCCCAGCAGAGCTTTCCAGTCAGGTCTACACCATCACTGAAGCACATTCAGATTTACACATCATCTAAATTGTTCACACACATGCAGAGGAAAGAGACCAAACAGTCTCTTCATTACATTAAGATGCCTGAGTTGATATTCTAGTAGTTTGGATGCTGAAGCTGGGCTCAGTACACCGCAGCTGAGTACGCAGCAAATGCCCCTTTAGGTCCAAGCTATAGCCAGAAACAAGGAGAGAAAATACTTGTATTATGGGACTTGACACTCTTAGGAGCTTTCAAATCTTATGCTTAACTTTACCTTGCTGTGTGGCAGCAGCCCTGGCATCCCTGAGAGCTCACTCTTTGTTTCATAGCATATTTAAAAGGTTACAGTAATTTTTATTCTTCAAAACACACCAAGACAAGGTTACACATTTATGCTAAATTTGAAGAAGCAAAAGCATCCTGACAGCGCAGCTGGCTTCCCCATTCTTCAAACATTTACCTGTGCCCGTCAAGCCTGGTAAGTAGATATTTATAACGGGCAATCAGAGCAGACGAGCACTTGCCGTATGTATGAGCTGCAATTACCATCAGTGCTGCTCTGCATTTTCCTGACTCTGCTCCCAGCAATATTCATGGATCACGTATGGCACCCTAAGCCGGGGTATGCAGCGGCAGGTTCTCACAGAGGCATAGCTCTGTTTGCAGGATTGGAGCCAAGTTCAGAAAACACATCTGCATTTTAGGACGCAAAGAGCTACATACATTTCTGTAGTAATAAAACGCTAAAATATCTATTTTGACCTAAGTATTTATGTATAAGGTGTCCAGCTGAGCACTGGTCTCTAAAGCACAACTCCCATCAAGTCAAGGCAAGATTTGCCTACAGGAGGAGTAAGGCATGTTGAATAACATAACTGACTGGACCTGAGAAGTTATGCAGGATTTTCAAATATTCCCCGAGAGATGATTTTAATACACTAACCACAATCGTGAAAACAGTAATTAACAAGGCTTTACCACAAAACAAAAAGTTTGTGGGATGCACTAATACCTACTGTTTAGCCTGGTTGACATGAACTCCCAGAGTATAGCTCAGCCATTTGTATGTTACCTGTAGAAGAATAAATAATAAATACTTTAGTAAGAAAACCTCTCTTGATTTGTTAAACTGCCCTCCTTTGTTCATTTAATGGGTAAATCAAACTCTTTAGACACACACACCCCCAGGAAAACCACAGCAAAACCTGTTAGAAGTGAGAGCACATGGACACCCGCCCACCTGTGCTTTGAGGAGTAGATTGAATTCCTAAGACTTAAACAAACTACCCTGAAAAGTGTATTTTTTGTGAACACCTTCTTGAAAAGCCATTGCATAAATAAAAGCCCTTCAAAACGCCTGCGCTGCTTAGCTTCACAACGGAGAAAAAAGTTAAACAGCACAATTTTTAATTATAAGAAGCTCTTATTGCTCTCCCAAACAATTACCAAGGATTTCTCAGATTTCTGCCACCCTCTTGTGTCATGGGGATCTCCAGCTGCATCACAAGTCCAACAGCACAGTGTGCCACATCTCAGGAGACTACAGCTCTAATCCCAGCCCTGCCACTTGACTTGCTGTATTATATTTAGATAAGGCATGGTCTTATCTAAATAAACAGGTCTTTATACCTGTTTCTCCCCCTCCTCTGCCTTTTAAACTAAACCTTAGGCTACGGCCTCCCCTGTTCCAAATACAATTAAATTAAATTTTATTAGTCTAGTGGTTTAGTGAAATAAACTATACTGACATAGGCAGTTCATGTTAATACAACTGCCTTTAACAGACAAGATGCACCAACTTTGCTGTATCAGTTTCTAGGCAAAAATCTTATTTAAAACGGACACACATGCTTACCATGTTTCTAAATCATCCTAAAATTAGTAAGGCTTCAAGAGGCTACAGATGATAAGTAGTAATTTTAGTTTTAAGCTGATTTAGCAATAATGAAAGAGTGGTCCAGACTGCCTTGATCTTTCATGGAAAAAACCCCATTTCATATACTTTTGTCTTTTATACCTTGAGCTAAAATACTGCTGTCAGTGCTTTTTGGAGGAAAAACACCTCACGTATTAGGGAGCATTAGGAATTTGGGGAGAGCTGCTTTTCCTGTGAGATAAATGATGCCATCTCCAATTCTCTTCAGAGACATTAAATTGATTTATAGCACAAGAGGCGGGAAAAAATCCTGACCAGAAAAGCATCTCCTGTCCAGTCTGACAGGAAGACCGTATTAACTGCAACCTGTGGAAAAGCAAACACTGCAAACGCAGCCAGGCACCGCACATAAATCCCCGCAAAATGAGTAAAACTTGTGGAGCGAACAGCCCTGAGGGGGAAGGTGGCTGCAGCTGCGGAGGCCTCATTTCTTCTGTGTCTGTCG